ATAGACCCCTGAGCCAGACAGATGGAAATAAAAATGTTTTAAAGAAAATTTAAAGTAATTTATTATAGAGCGTTTGCAGCATAGAGATAAATTAGTCAGTGATACTCATGTAGTTAGCAGCTCTTAAAAAAATTAATACAACCATGGCTGGGGCTGTATGTAGCTCAGGGGTAGAGCGCTTGCCTTGTATGTGTGAGGTACTAGGTTCAATTCTCAGCACTACATAAAAATAAATAAAATTTTAAAAAGAAAAAAATAAATGTTTAATAAATAAATAAAACCTCACCAGCATAGTCAGAGCCTTGTTAGGTTGCCTCCCATCTCCTCTCCAGTTGCCTCCCCTCCTTCCCCATCTAGAGCTGACCACTGTGTGGTCACACTGTGTGTGATGATTTCATTTCTACGCATAGGTCAAGAAGTTGCCTCCAGCTTCCTTGTGAGGGGTCAGGCCACCACTCCAGTGGGATTAGTGTACACATGGGAGCACCAGGGGTGTCACTTGCCTGCGGTCACATGGCCAAGATACAGCCTGAGGCTGAAACTCAGTTCCTTGGGACTCCAGAGGTCTCCTTGTGCACAGATGGCCAGGCCTTCTTGAGGGGGAAGTGGAGGCAGGCCAGCCTTCCTGGGGAAGGGGGAAGAGCCCTGCTTTGGGACATAGGAGGAGGCCCAATTTGGGCTTCATGTCATCTGAACTTCCAAACCAGGGTTCCTCTGTATAGTTACTTCTTTTGTCATAAAATGCAGAAAAATACATGGAAGGTACTTTCTACAGTGCAGTAGAACCAGTGGTTGTAAAGCAGGTCCCAGTGTGACCACAAGGGAACATTGTCACCTCCCAGAGTTTCCCTAAGGCCCTGCCTTTGTGGCATTTGTTGACATTTGTTTCTTCTTGATTTTTTTGCAGAGGAGAAAGACGTTCTTAAACAGCAAACAGCATGGCCTGTCCTGTTTCCATCTAGCTGTGAATGGACTCTCACTGGCTGTGTTACTTTGTATCTGATTTCTTCCACTCCATCTAATTCTCTGATGCCTCCTCCCTGTGGTGTGAATGGTGTTCTTCTGTAAATATTAATTCACTCGTTGATTTAGCCAATCTCTTGTGAGTGGAATGCTGGCAATCACTAGGACTATTGTTCCTGTGAACCTTCTTCTGTGTGTTTTTTGGTGAACAAATGTATTAATTTCTTTTGGGGGACTGGAATTGCTGGGTTCTGGGGTAGGTGTGTGTGTGTATTTTGTTGTTTTGAGATGGGGTCTCACTGTGTTGCCCAGGCTAGTCTCCCACACCAAGGGGTCCTCCTGCTTCAGGCTCCTGAGTGCTGAGACGATAGGTGCATCCCACCATACCTGGCGAGATTTTAATTCTTACTGCCAAACACTTTTCCACAGTGGTTGGGCCATTTTGTACTCCCCCAGTAGTGCATAGAATCGTGATTCCTCATATCCCTGCTGATGGTTGGTGTTGTCAGTTTTTTTAATTTCAGCATCCCAGACAGGTGGTTTTAATCTGTATGTCCCCATAACTAATGAGGTTGTGCCTGTTCCCTATTCATCTGGGTGTCCTGTTGAGTTGCCCTTTCTCTTTTCGCCTTGCTTCCCAGGTGGCTCACCTCTGGTCAACAGCTGTAGCCCTGGCCAGAACCCTCAGCACACTCGTGCATGGGCGTCCTAGGAAGTAGCGAGTGGGGAAGAGCCATACAGGCTCCCTGCAGAGGGGGTGCTGCCTGCCGAGTGGCCAGCGCAGAGCCCTGCATGCTGCCTGGGTTCCCTCCTGCCTGCATCCTAGGCCTGCACTCCCTGGTGAGCAGGCTGTCCTCTTGGCCATGCTGCCTGGTGTTTCATCACCACAGGACTGCGTCACAGACACCTCAGCCGAGGCGCCACCCTCAGTGGGAGGACGGGGCAGGATCCAGGCGGGACACAGGGGATCTTCCAATTCCTCCCCCTGTTCTCGCCTGAGCTGCCGCTGGCTTTTTAGTTGCTGAAACAAGACCATAAAACATGACTCTGGCGTGCTGAGCCTCTGCCAGGCCTCCACCACTCAGCTGGGAGACTCGAGGTAAATGGCTTCCCCTCTCTGAGCCTCTGTCCTTGCCTGGGCACAGTTACGGCCCCTCTGGTGGGGTGTTACGAGCACTCAGGAGAGGCTCTACAGGAGTGCTGGCACCCTGCCCAAGGCCACCCAGCTGGGGATGGCTTGTGGACTCTGGAACCCTGACCACTCTCGGTCACACCTGACTGCCTTCACTTAGCTTTTGAATAATGGCAGCCATGTATTTGGCTTTACCAGGTCCAGATAGTGGGTTGAACCCTCCTCCCACAGTGGGTTCCTGGGTGCTGCTCTGGAGCCTTGTGCTACTGGGTTGCAGAGGCTCCGAGAGGTGATGTTGTTGGGCCGCCAAGAGGAGCTGAGGCTGGACCTGGGACCCCTGTTCTCTTTCTTCCTCAACTGAGTTCTCCATCTCAGCTCTTTAGGAAGTGAACTCAGCAGGGAGAAGTGTGGTGTCCACCTCAGCTCCCCGCCACACCTCGGAATTCCTTGAGTGTTTTCTGCTGGCTTTGCCCGCACCAGCTCCTTCCTGCCTTGGGGACTTTGCATTCACTATTCCTCTGCCTGAAATGCCTTTCCCTGTACCTCTGCACTCCTCACTCCTTGGTCCCTCAAGGTGTCTGCTCATGGGTCCTCTACGCTGTGTGGCTCACACAGCACCCCACTTCCTGCCAGTCTTTCTCTTTACTTTGTTTTCCCTCTCAGTGCCTTTTTGCCAAAGCTGACATGGTTCTGAATGCTCGTGGTTCTGCCTTCTCCCCAGAATGTGAGCTTCATAAGACAGGGCAAGGGCTATATCTTAGTGATGCTCTATCTAGCACCCAGGACAGTGTCTGAAGCTTTAGGATACACTCAGAAAGACTGGTGGAATGAGTAGAATGCAGAGGTTTCTGCAGCAATCTCTGATTTGGGCTGCTGCCTTGGGAGCCGTGATTCATTTATCGTGTTCAGCTGGTATTGGTGCTGTGCTGGACACTGAATCAGCTTTGATAGGGGTGGGGAGAATTGCCAGAGGTGGGTGCACAGAGCACTGGGAGGCTTCCTGGAGGAGTCACTTTTTGACTGAGACCTCATGGTGGAGGGAGAAGGCATAGGGGATGTAGTCTAGGTGACAGATGCCTGATTTTTTTTTGGCGGGGGGGGGGGGGTAGCGAGGCATGTTAATGACCATTGCCATTGTCTTAGCCTTTGCTTTCTGGATGTGTGTCTCAGCTCCCACGGGGCCTCCTCAGTACAGCATGGACTTTGTTCTTGTTCTGAGCACATTGGGGAGCTGTGGAAGGGTTTTGAGTGAGGAGAGGGACAAGGTCCATTTAAAATGGAGCTGTAGGGATGAGAGCAGAGGCTGTGAGCCCAGGGAGGAGGCCAGGGCTGGAGGAGGGGGCTGTGGGGACTGGGCCGGTGCTGGGGCGGGAGGCGTGCAGGGTGAGTGCGCAGAGGCAGTAGGGATGAAGGGCGGCAGAACGGGTCCTGAAAGGCTTTGGATATCAAGCTGAGGAGTTTGACTTTTTTGCCAAGGACAATGAAGGGCCACAGAAGGATTCTGAGCAGGGAAAGAACAGAGTCAAATTTGAGAGTCCTTTAGCTGCTGAATAGGGGATAGGATGCAGGGGGAGTCCAGGGAGGAGGTGGAGCGTGATTCCAGTAGCCAGGCCATAAACTGGGAAGGGAACGGGAGGCATGGGGCCAGGCAGTCACATTGCAGATTGACATTGTGGGGAGAGAGTGGAGGGTTCTAGCTGGCCTGTATTCAGGGTCTGAGGTGCCATGCCTGCTTACAAGGAGGGCCTTATTGCTATTCCCAGCCCAGAATCGTTGCCTTTGCAGCTTAGAAGTCCAAAATGTGATTTTCACCATCCTGTTTGTGTCCCTGTCGCTGTCCATCTTGCCTTTCCTCCCGCTTCCTCCCACTTACCTCCCTTCCTTCTGCCCAGGGCCTGGGCAGCCTGCCACCGTCACATGCCAGGCAGTAGCGTATCCGGCCCACCAGCTCCCCTGGGGCACGAGAGAAAGCTGATGCCCATGGTGTCCCTAGAGCCAGCTGACACTTCTCTGGGGGCCACCGTAGCTCCTGACCTGCTGTCCGCAAATAACCTCAGGCCAGGAAAGGCAAAAGGCGCCTTGGGCTTCGTGGCTCCAGTCCAGGCCCCTGGCTCCAGGTAGGGCCCAGCTGGCAGCTCCTTGCACCCTTCTGCACTCCGCTTTGGGAACCTGAGACGAGGCAGCAGCCTCGGCGTCCATCAGTCTGTCGGCTGCTGGTCCCTGAGGACAGAAGCAGAGGTCTTGGGGAAGGGACCAGAACTGACTCCTAGGCCCAGACAGGCGCATACACAGTAGGTTGCTTGTTTAGGACCCCAGAATGCCACGCTTGTCTTTTCTTAGTCCTCTTGGTGGGAGCAGGGAGGGAACTGAGGCTGAGAAAGTGGCTTGGGGTAGTCCAGCATGGGGTGGATGGACATTTATTTTGCTGAAGGTGATAGGTTGGTGGTTCTCTGGTTTGGAAAAGAGAGAATGGGAATGAGAGAGAAAGAGTGCGTGTGCGGATGTATGTATTGTGGGGCAGGCAGATGCTAATGGCTGTGAGCACACCCTCCGCTTGGTGCCCAGGGCTGTGTGATTCACTCTGGGTTACCTCAGTACTGGGGCATGGGAGTGATGTAGCGGGCAGGGCCATAGCTACCTCAGTGCCCACCCAGACAGCAGGAAGGGTAGCAGGAGGGGCCTGAGTGCAGAGGCCTGGCCACACATAGGATTGGGGTCTCCGGAGACCTGGTTATGTCTCTGCTAAGTCTGGGCCCTCAAGGGCAGGGCTATCCCCCATCTTCACTGGCTATACCTGGTGCATAGCAGGCCAAGTGGCCAGAGGGCCTCAGAGTCTTGAGTGTCCTGAGGGAAAGGGCTGGGGCGGAATTTCTCCCACTCTGACATGCTCCTTCTTGTCTTCCAGACTATATCCACAGCACCTCCTGCATGTCCTGCTGCCCTGAGCTGTCCCAAGCTAGGTGACAGCGTGTCACGCTGCCACCATGAATGAAGTGTCTGTCATCAAAGAAGGCTGGCTGCACAAACGTGGTAAGGGGTGGCTTTTGCCCATTTGATCATGTGTCTTCCCCTCCTATCCTGACTCTTTTGGCATCTGGCACCCTGAGAGGTGGAAGCGTAGGGTGATTACTGACCCAAGGAGTTAGTGTTTATAGCCTCCATGCCACTAGCTACGTGCATACCACTTCATGGAATCCTTCAGAGTCCCTGGGGAGGGAGCTGAGGATCTACTGGGGCTGAGTGTCCAGGCCTAGCTGGACACCCTGGACAAGCCACAGACCAGGCCTCAGGCTCTGCCTTGCATCAGTGATCTTGTTCATAACCCCGTTTTGTTTATTTATTTATTTATTTATTTACTTACTTACTTATTTATTTATAAATTTTGAGACAGGGTCTTGTTAAGTTGCTGAATGTCTCACGTAATTGCTGAGGCTGGCCTTGAACTTGCAGTTCTCCTGCCTCAGCCTCCTGATTTGCTGGGATTACCTGAATGCACCACTGCTCCTAGCCTCATTTAATAGGTGTGGAAAGAGGCAGAGAAAGGAAGTCACTTAATTGAGGGCAGTATTCAACATTCATTCAGCAAATATTCGTTGACATTGTCCCATGTTTTGGGACACAGTGGCATCCTCATAGAATTCACATTCCAGTAGGGAATGGGGACAAACAACAAATGAGTAGACATGTGATAGTGATAAGTGCTGTTGTGAAAAAAAAACGTAGAAACTCTGAGGAGCAAGGGGCCAGGGAGATGGGCAAGGCAAAGGAGGCTGCTTTGAGGAGCCCTGGAGAAGGTGCAGGAGTGAGCCACACAGATAGCTGAGCAAGGGCGTCCCAGGGGGAGGGACAGCAAGGTCAGGGCTCTAACATGGAGGTGATGCCTGGTGCGTTGTGTTCTTGCAGTGCTGGGGATGGACCCAAAGCCTTATGCACATAGACAGGTACTCTCTCTTAAGGTGCCATACAGCCAGCCCATGCCCATTGTTTTCTAGGAAAAGCATGACTGGAGCGCAGTGAGTAGGGTGAAGTGGAGGAGAGAGGAATGACATAGCTCCCACCATGTTGGGCCCTGTAGGCTACAGAAGGGACCTTGGCTTTAACTCTGGACAGTGGAAGCTCAGGGTATTGTGACCCATGGTGGGACCTGATGCAGTGTACTGATGGGAAGTTGAGGCGCTAGTAAAGTCATGGGTGGGGAAGAGACTAGTCCTTAAGACTCCCAAAGTTGCCTGTTCCCTGGGCCAGCCGCCAGGTGACCCTGGGATGCAGGCAGGAAGAAGCACATGCTATGAAATGGCTTTGTCCATAGCTGAATTTTTAGTAGCTGTTCTACTTGCACTTCACTTTCTTTTTCTTTTTCTTCTTCTTCTTTTTTTGTTTTTTTTTGGTGTGTGTGTGTGTATGTGATGGTGGTGCTGGGATTTGAACCTAGAGCCTCATGCATGTCAGGCAAACACTTTACCACTAAGCTATCTCCTTAGCCCCTCCCTCTACTTGCACTTTCATCCATTCATCAAGCATTTATTGATGGATCAGTCCCTGTGGTTCAGGTATAGTCCCTGTGGATCAGTTCCTGTGGTTCGGGTGCCAGGGTTGTAGCAACATCCCGTACTTGTGATGATATCTTACATTCTGGGTGGGAGGCAGGTAGCACCCAGGCTGATGCGAGTATGCTGTGGTGGTACATGCTGTGGAGTAGAACCAGACAATGAGAGAAGGATGGGGTGTGAGGTGGGCAGGAACTTGGAGACCCATCTTAATTTCAGTGGTTAGGAGGAGGCCTTCACTAAGAAGAGGATGTCTAAACGAAGACCTGAAGGAGCCAGACTTGGTGGTGCACACCTGTAACTCTAGGTGTTTGGGTGGCTGAGGCCAGCCTGGGCAATTTAGCAAGACCCTGTCTCAAAGTGAAAAATAAAAAGAGGTAGGGATGTAGCTCAGTGGCAAGGTACCCCAGGGCTCAATTCACAGTAACCAGGGAAAAAAGACCTGTGGGAGGCAGAAGAGGGCACCACAGCTCACTGGGTCAGGGGCACATGGACAGAGGGGATGGCCAGCGAGTCCTGAGGTGGGTGAGCAGGTGATTGATGGGATTGACCCTGTGGAACCAGGAGAAGAGAACCATTCTGCCCTGTCCCAGTCCACAGACACCAGACAGTGATGGGAGACAGAGGCCACTGCCAGGCAAGGACTCCCCATCAGAATGAGCAGAAGGACCCATTTCCTGCTGCCCTGTCCAGGCAGGGGCAGCATTCATGGCACCTCAGCCCAGCCCCTACAGACAACCCTGAATTTGGGTCTGTTAGTGGAACTTTGCAAAATTTGACAGATGGTGATGGTGGGCAAGTTGTGTCATTTGACTGAGCCTTCATTTTACATCTGTATCTTAGGTTAACAGCCCAGGCCTCTGTGACCATGAGGGCAGGGATTTCCACGTGACTTGTTCACTGACGTGTCCTCATCACCTCAAAAAGTGCTTGTCATACAGTAGGCACTCAGTAAATGATAGTTGGATGAACAACTGGAATTGTGTGTGGTGCGACTGTGCTAGAGTGTGCAAGGGTCTTGGGTCTGTCCCTCAACTCAAGCTTCCTGAGGCCCATGGGTCACTGGGCTCAAGTGCCAGGAATCTTGGAGGTAATTGGAGAACTGTCAAAGGCTGGGGAGTTTATCTCTGGCCTGGGGACTTAGCCGATGGCATTAAGTGGGTCTCAGTCCCTATTAGGGCATCACTGTCCCCATTCATGCTGCGAGACCAGATGAGTGGTCCACAGTCCTGTCCCTGTCTGCTGAGTTGGCCCAACTTGGACATACCTGCCTTGAGTTAGCACAACACACGTGTGCACACCTGTGCTCGTGTACTTCCAGGCCTCCCTGGTGCCTGTCATTGAGGCAGCTGTTGTCTTGGCACCTCTGCTCCAACCCTTGCTGGCTAAAATAATTGCTGTACTGTTTTTTGGAGTGCCCACCCTGCCAGGCTCTGGACTCTGCCCCAGACAAGCCCAGTGTTGATTTTTTTCGGTGTGGCGGGGAGGAGGTTTCCTGGGGATTAAACTCAGGGGCACTCATCCACTGAGCCACACCCTCAGCCCTTTTTTGTATTTTATTTAGAGACAGGGTCTCACTGAGTGGCTTAGCACCTGGCTTTTGCTGAGGCTGGCTTTGAACTTGCGATCCTCCTTCTTAGCCTCCTAAGCCACTAGGATTATAGGCATGCACCACTGTGTCTGGCCCCAGTGTTGAATTTTCATAGATGCCCTGTAAGGTGGCTACCATCTTACTAGCAGCAAGAGTGATCACCCAGAGTTTTAGTGCAGAGTGTGAGGTTGAATTCAGGCCTCCTGGCTGCTGAATGAATGAATGTCCTCAAAGTCTAGTCTATGTGCTGCCTCTTGTTCAGCAAGATCTAAGAATGTGGAGTCCCTTGTGCTACTGGTGGGTCCTGCTTGTGGCATGGCCTTAGTACACCACCGCCATCATTAGCAGAGTGCCCACCCTCTGCCAGGCTACGTACAAGGCCAACTTAGTGGTCAGGAGTGCTAGCTCTTACAGGACAGCTGTGAACCTTGACAAGGCTGCCTGTGCCTCAGGTTCCCCATACAAAATGGGGGATAAGATCACAAGACTCCTTTTTTCTTTAATCTAGGTTTCTTGATATCCAAGACGAGTTCTGGATAATTACCTCACCCCTGTGCCAGCGTGCGTGCAATAAAGAAATAGAGCTGGGTACAGTGTTACATGCCTGTAATCCCAGTAACTTGGAAGGCTGAGGCAGGAGGATTGCAAGTTTGAGACCAGCCTCAGTAATTTAGCAAGGGCCCAGGCAACTTAGTGAGACCCTGTCTCAAAAAATAAAAAGGGCTGGCAATGCGGCTCAGTGGTAAAGCCCCTCTGGTTCAATCCCTAGTCCCCCCCCAAAAAAAACAGAAAGAAAGAAAACAAAACAATCTGCAAAAGCCTCTGCTCCCTTCCCAAGCTTGCAGTTTTCTAATTTTTGTCTTTTTAAAAAAAAAAAGGTGGAAATTTATATAATATTATAATAACCATCTTAAATTATACAATTCAGTGGCCTTTTAATACATTCATGATGTTGTGTTAACCATTACCTCTAACTAGTTCCAAAATGTTTTCATCACCTCCAAAGAAAACTTTATACCCATTAAGCAGTCAGTCTCTGTACCCTCTTGCTCCCAGTGTCTGGCAGCTATCAGTTTGCTTTCTGTTTTTATGGGTTTACCTACTCTAGACCCTTCGTATAAATAGAATTGTACAATATATGCTCTTTTGTGATGGGCTTCTTTCACTTACATAATGTTTTTGAGGTTCCTCTGTGTTACAGCATGTATCAGTACTTCATTCCTTTTTAAAGGCCAAATAATCAACTTTATGGACATATCATATTTTGTTTATCCATCCATCTCTAGATATATATTGGAGTTGTTTCTACCTTTTCACTATTGTGAATAGTACTGTTATGAACAAAATGTACAGTATTTGTTTGAATACCTGTATTCAGTTCTTTCATGTGCATTACCTAGGACAATTGCTGGATCATGTAGTCTGTATTTGTAATTTGCATTTATAATCTAGTATCTAATATACATAATATGTAAATGTGTGTAATTATATAATCTGAGTCATATTTCCTATATTTATAATTTATAGTATATTCTGTGTTTAGCTTTTTGAGGAAGTACCAGATTTTTCTACAGTGTCTTGTACCATTTACATTCCAAAAATGCACAGGGTTTTATTTTCTTCATCTCCTTACTAAACAGTCCTTGTGTGTGTGTGTGTGTGTGTGTGTGAGAGAGAGTGTGTTTAGTACTAGGGGTTGAACTGAGGGGCACTCAACCACTGAGCCACACCCCACCCCTAGTTTGTATCTTATTTAGAGACAGGGTCTCACTGAGTTGCTTAGCACCTGGCTTTTGCTGAGGCTGGCTTTGAATTCTGTGATCCTCCTGCCTCAGCCTGCTGAACCGCTGGTATTAACAGGCATACTCCACTGTGCCCTGCAGTTTATTTTTTATTTTGACAGGGTCTCTATAAGTTGCTGAGACTGGCTTTGAACTTGCAATCCTCCTGCCTCAGCCTCACGAGCCACTGGAATTACAGATGTGTAATACCGTGCTCAGTTTTGTTTGTGTTGTTGTTTTTTTTTTTAATATTTTTTTAGGTGTTGATGTACCTTTATTTTATTCATTTACTTATATGTGGTACTTAGAATCAAACCCAGTGTCTCACAAATGTGAGGCAAGTGCTCTACTACTGAGGTACAACTCCAGCCCCTTTTGTTTGTGTTTTTAAGATTATCATTATTGCTGGGCAGAGTGGTACACGCCTGTAAGCCCAGCGGTTTGGGAGGTTGAGGCAGGAGGATCCGGAGTTCAAAGCCAGCCTCAGCAACAGCAAGGCACCAAGCAACTCAGTGAGACCCTGTCTCTGAATAAAATATGAACTAAATCTGGGGATGTGACTCAGTGGTTAAGTGCCCCTGAGTTCAATCACCGACCGCCCACCCCCCCACCAAAAAAAGATTATTATTATTATTACAGTCATCTCAGTGCGTGTGAAGTAGTGTCTCATCATGATTTTGATTTTTTTTTTTTTTTGGTAACAACTGTGTTATTAAGAATTTTTTCATGGCTTGTTGGCCATTTGTATAGTCTTTGGAGGAATGTCTGTTCAAGTCCTTTACCCCCTTTTTAATAAGCTATTTGTCTTTTTGTTGTTGAGTTGTAAGAGTTCTTTATATTTTATATTTTCTAGATACTAGACTCTTGTCATATGAGTTGCAAGCATTTTTTCCTGTTCTGTAGGTTAATTTTGTCTTTGTCCATTCATCCCTCCCCTCTTCCCCTCCCTGCTTCCTTTCTTTTCATTCCTTCTTTCCCTTCCCTTCCTCTCTCCCTCTCTCTTACCTTTCTTCCCTCCTTCTTTTCCCTTTATTTTTATTTTTGGCATTGATGATTGAACCCAGGGGAGCTTAACCACTGAACCACGTCTCCAGCCCTTTTTATATTTTACTTAGAGACATGGTCTTGCTGAGCTACTTAGTACCTTGCTAAGAACTCTGAATTCATGATCCTTCTGCCTCAGCCTCCCAAGCCACTGGAATTATAGGAGTGCGCCAGCATACCCAGCCCCAACCCTTTTTATTTTTGTTGTGAAACAGAGTCTTGCTAAGTTGATAGGCTGGCCTCAAACTTGGTATCCTTCTGCATCCTGAGTAGCTGGGATTATAGGCATGTGCCTTCATACCTGGCTGCCTTTTAATTTCTTGATAGTGTTCTTTCATGCACAAAAGTTTTTCATTTTGATAAGTTCACTTTTTTTTTTTTTTTTTGTTTTTTGTTTTTTGGTGTCATCTAAGAGTGCCAAATCCACGATAGTGAAGATTTAATCCTTTGTATTCTAGTTAGAGTTCTACAGTTTCAGCTCTTAGATTAATAGATTTTTAATGCGTTTTTGTATGTGGCGGATAGAATGAGGTAGAGGTCTGAGTTCACTCTTTTGCATGTGGACTTCCAGGTGTGCCAGCACTATTTGCTGCATTATTCTAGTGAGTGCTCTGGCACCCCTTGTTGAAAGTCATTTGACCTTAGTGTTTGGGTTTGTCATTTAATTTCTTGATTCTGTTTGATTGGTCTATATATTTATCCTTATACCACACTGTTTTGGTTATTGTAGCTTTGTGTAGTCGGTTTTGGAATTGGGAAATATGGAGTCTTTTAACTTGGCTAAAAATTTTTAATGTTGTCTTGGATGTTTGGAACGCCTTGCAATTCCATATAAATTTGAAGATTGACTTTTCCATTTCTCTAAAAGGGCTGCTGTTGGAATTTTGAGAGAGATTTCATCACACCTGGTCACTCTGAATATTGTCAGCCTGACAATGTTAAATCTTCCAATCCAGTAACAAGGGATGTCCTTGCATTTATTAGATCATTTTTTTAAATTAATGTTTTATAGTATGAAAATCTTTTATCTCCATGGTTACATTATTCCTAAGTATTTTATTCTTTTGGAGACTATAGTAAATGAATTTTTTTTAAATTTCCTTTTGGGACTATTGGTTGTTGGTATATAGAAACATAGCTGATTTTTTTTAAACATTTATTTTTTAGTCATAGGTGGACATAATATCTATTTTATTTTTATGTGGTGCTGAGGATTGAACTCGGTGCCCCACACATGGTAGGCAATCGCTCTACCTCTGAGCCACAACCCCAGCACCCCCCCCCAACAATGTACCTGAGTTTTGTACGTTGATTATGCTAAACTTATTAACTCTAGAAGTTACTTTGGACACAATACCTTTATTTTATTTATTTATTTTTGTATGGTGCTGAGGATGAAACCCAGTGACTTAACATGCACTAGGCAAGCACTCTACAACTGAGCCACAATCCCAGTCCGGGTATTTTTATTTTTATTTTTTTTAATTGGGGTCTCAATATTTTGCCCAGGTCAGCCTTGAGCTCCTGGGCTCAAATGATCCTTTGGTGTCAGCCTCCTGAGTAGCTGGGACTTTAGGTCCAAGCCACTACACCTGGCTACTCTGTAGATTCTTTGTGCTTTTTCTCTACATAGGATCACATTATCAGCAAAGTAGAGGTAATTTTCTTCTTTCCTTTTCCCTTTAGTACCTTTTATTCCATTTTGCACAGTAGTGGAAAAGACGGGCATCCTTGTCCTGATCCTGACCTTAGGGAGAAGCTTTCAGTCTTTCCTTATTGAGTGTGACGTCAGTCATCAGCCGTGGGCTTTTCATAGATGCCTTTTATCACATTACGGAAGCTCCTTCTGTTCATAGCTTGCTAAGTATTTTTATCCTGAAAAATACTTAGATTGTCAGATGCTTTTCCTGTGTCGATTGGGACGATCACATCATTCTTTCAATGTACATTGAACCATCTTTTCATTCCTGGGATACATTTCACTTGGTCATGGGATATAAATGTACATATATATATTTTAAAACAGATTCACTTTATTGGCCAAGCTGGCCTTGAACTCTTGCCTTAGTCTTCCGAGTAGCTGGGGCTCTCGGTCTTCACCACCACACCAGACATCTTTTTAATATGCTGTTGAATTTAGGATTTTGCTAGTGTTTGAACTTTATATAAATGGAGTAATTTATATCTACATTTGAGAGAATTTTATAAGTTAAAACCCACTCATGAGATACTTAAGACAGTGCTTGACACAAAGAGCACTGTGGTATCATTATTATTCATTGCTGTCTTCCTCCTCAGTTAGTGGATGGCCCCAGAAGAGGAAACAGTTCAGAAAAGGGAAATGATTTACTTACATCCAGCAGATATACCTCAGTCCACTGTGTCCTGCCTCTTCATGTGCCATGGAAGTCAAGTGCCTGGCACATACTTCTTGCACAGTGGACTGATAATGAAGAGCATTCATTGAGTGTATGCAATGTGCTGGGCTCTTGAGCTGGGTGTTTCATGGTTGCTGTCTCATCATTGAGATATAATGGACATGCCTTACAATTTATCCTTCTGAAGGGGACAGTTCAGTATTCAGAGTTGTGCAACCAACACTACAGTCAATTGTAGAAGATTTTTTTACACACCAAAAGATTCTGTCCCCATTGGCCATCACCTTCCAGTTTTCCCCTAGGCCCTGCATCCCAAGTGGACTCATATAGATACTCCTCAACATGGCAGGATTACATCGCAGTAAACCTATCATAAGTTAAAAATACATTTAATGCACCTAACTTACAGAGCACTGGAGCTTAGCAGTAAGGGATGGTAGTGTTGGTTGAGCACCTTTGTGATCATGTGGCTGACCAGGAGCCCAGTATCATATACTGTGTATAGGTATACTGTGTATAGGTAGCTTGGGAAAAGTTCAGAATCTCCCATTGAAGTGTGCTATGTACTGAAGGCATGTTGGCCTCATGCTGTCATAAAGTTGAACCACTGTAAACACTGTCTGGAATTTGTGGTCCTTTGTGATTGATTTCTTTCACTTAGCCTAAGTATGGTTCATCCACTTCATAGCATGGAACTTCAATTCTTTTTATGGTCTACAAGTTTTCCATTTGGATCCACCAAGTTCTGTTGATAAACCATTCATTGGTTGATAAATATTTGGGCTGTTTCTACTTTGGGGCTGCTATGAGTACTGCTGCTGTGGATGCTCATGTGTGGGTTTTTATGTGGACATTTGTTTCACCATCTCATTTCCCCCTTGGCAGCCCTCAAAGGAGCGGGTCCTTGTAGAAAGTGTTCAGGCAAGTGCGTGTGGGTCCTGCCTCAGCCTCCTCCTGGCTCCCAGCCTCCAGAAAAGTGGAAGGGATTACAGGTGCTCAAAGGGTGTGGAAGCAGCTATAGCCCACCTGGCACAAAAGTATTTTGACATTTGATTCACCATCTGGGTCCTACGTGGCCATGCTGGTGAATTCAAGCCCATGGCATTTGGCCTTAACAGGGTCACAGGGCATGTGTGTTTAGAGGCCTGGGCCTCCCTTAGGATGGGACCATCTGGCAGGGATAGCTTGCTGTTGGCCACATGCTGAGGCAGCTGGTGTTCTGGGGCACTGTTACAGGCGCCTTCCTGCCAGGCATGACCCTGTGGATCACTCAGGACCAGCCCAGTGCCCCAGCCTGCGTCAGCAGGGGCCACCTTGAGGGCTCCCCTGGGAGAGGCACACTTGTCCACCCTCCTCCCACTGTGGTGCCCCTTGTGAGTCACCGTCACACTGGGCTGCCTGCCTGCCCGCCTGCCTGCCCGCCTGGGATACTGTTCAACCTTGTCCTGACCTCTCTCCTCTCCCGCCTCTTTCAGGTGAATACATCAAGACATGGAGGCCCCGGTACTTCCTTCTGAAGAGCGATGGCTCCTTCATTGGGTATAAGGAGAGGCCAGAGGCTCCTGACCAGACTTCACCCCCCTTAAACAACTTCTCTGTAGCAGGTGAGTCTCAGGGCAAGTAGGCCAGCAGAACTTGGAGAATGGCTGGCAGATCTTGGGGGCACATGGGTCTTGGTCATTCTTGAGCCAGAGGACTGTCCTGGGCTTGTTTGCCCTCAGATCCATTTCCCATCCTTCTCCTGCTCTCCCTCCTTGTCAGCTGGGTGCTGTGGGGTCATCCTATGGGAGGTGGAGAATGAGAAGAGGGCGTAAGCAGGGCATTCATACACACCCTTCCCTGGGCCCCAGCTCCAGCTCCAGCTGGCCCTGTGGTTCCAGCTGGAGTGCTGTCCTGCTCTGGTAACAGCCTCCTCCCTTCATCCCTCTCACCTAGAAGGGTCATGGCTTCCCACTCAGCTGATCAGGGCTGACCTCATGTCCTTGGTTCCCTCTGTAGCACCCGAAATGGTGCTACAGAGTCAGCTTTGCAAACCCAGTTTCCTTGCCTTGTTCTTGTGGAACAGGGGACTCCCCCAACCCCCACCTCCTTCCTTCCCTGCTGACGTGATTTGTACTGTGTCCTTGTTGTACCTGCTAAGAATGTTTCACAGGCAGCCCAGTCTCCTCAGCACCATCCTCTCAGGTCTGTCCTACAGCTTCCTCCCCAGCCCAACTCCTCCCTGGAGGCTCTCCTGCAACCCAGCCCTCACACTGTCTGTAGGAAGCCTTTTTCCTGGCTGCTTTCTCCATATGCTGGTGGCTTCTGCCTCGACTTCTTGCTTGTACTCCCAGCCTTTCCCCAGCAGCTTCCTGGACATTTCTCCCCAAGTATTCTCCAGGTTCCTCATACTCACCATGTTTCAAACTGACCTTCCCACCTCCCTTCTCCTTCCCTCTCTCAAACTTGTCATCTTCTCAGTCTCCTTGGGACAGCTCTGTTGTGCCTGGTGTTGGTCCCAAATGCCTCTCCCTCCTGCTGCAACCTGCTCCCTTTCCTCCCCTGCCTGCCCCACTCTGCTGCAGCTCATCCCCTCCATCTAGGTCCTGCCACAGTCTCTTCCCTGGCTTCTGGCCTCCAGTCTCATCCTCCATGGCAGCCAGGGGATCTGTCTCAGTCTGTCCATGTCCTTTCCATGGCTCCCTGCTGCCCTGAAGACAAAGTTCATATTCCTTACCATGGCCTCTAAAGCCCTGTCCAGCTGACTCTGGCCCACCTTTCCTAAGTGACTGCTCACTTTCCCCTGTCTAACACTTGGAGCAGAGTTGACATCCCCTCTGACTCAGTTTTCTTTGCCTTCAGGCCTCAGGTCAGAGATGCCCCTTCCTCAGGGTTGGATGCTGCAGCTGGCTGTCTCTGTCCCAACCCGACTGCTAAGTTGTTACCATCTGATGGTCTGCCCTGAGGGCAAGGCCAGAGCTGTCTTGATCTCTGATGGGTCCCCAGCACCATCTAACATGGGACTTGACACACAGGTGGCTCAGGGAATATGGGCTGCAGGCCAGCAGGGTCATCCCCTCACTGTCCCAATCCTCCTCCCTTGCCTGCAGAATGTCAGCTGATGAAGACCGAGAGGCCAAGGCCCAACACCTTCGTCATTCGCTGTCTGCAGTGGACCACTGTCATCGAGAGGACCTTCCATGTGGACTCTCCAGATGAGAGGTGAGTCTGAGCCTCCATGTGGCTGCCCTTTGAGAATGGTCAAGCTTGGTGCGAGGGGAAGAGGCACAATGGACAGATTCCCCTGGGCCCAACTGAGGAATTCCCAGTTTTCCACCCTTCTGGTGTGAAGTCTTCTACCTGGAACTGAGAAGAACTGGAAGTTTTGGTGTGAAAATTTCACTCTGTCCTTGGACTTGTAGGCACATCAGAGTCACTGATGACAGTGACTTGTTAGAAAGAGCTTGTTAATGACAGACTTTAGGCCTGACCACTATGGAGGGTCAGCAGACTGTTCCTAGTGCGCATCTTTGTTGATTCTAAAGTAGGTCTAGAAAGTCACTTTAAAAGTTCAATTTAATAATCAGAAGAAGTTATGTAGATTCATCTGGTTCAAAAGTCAGGCCGAGAGTGGGGAACCAAGGCACATATCTATAATCCCAGCAATTCAGGAGGGTGAGGCAGGAGGATTGCAAGTTCAAGGCCAGCTTCAGCAACTTAGCAAGTTTTTGTCTCAAAATAAAAAATAAAAAGAGCGGGGGTAAACCAATCCCAGTACCCTGGGTTCAATCCCAGTACCAAAAAGAGGAAGAAGAAATAAAGGCAAGCTGGGGCTTAGCTCAGAGCTAGAATGTTCACCTAGCATTCTCAAGGCCCTGGGTTCCATCTTCAACTCCACAACAACACCACAAACAAACAAACAAACTGCCTTCCCCCGTCCTTGCCATATGGAATGAGGAGGTGTCTGGTGAAAGTTTCACTGTCACCGCTCCCCTTCCCTCCATTCTCCATCCCCCAGATAACTACTTGTCTTCTGTGTGCTTGAAGAGCAGATGGAGGCCTTGGCGCCTGGGCCCTAGAAGGCAGCACTGCACCCACGCTGTTCTGAACTTGCCTTTTGCACTTCACTGAGTATCTTGTGGACTCTTTCCGTCTCGTCTCGTATAGAGAGCTGCTGCCCCGCCACAGTGTTTTTTCTGCTTCTCTTTTTAACAGCTGGACATGTGCATGCCTGTTTAACTAGCAGTTCTTTGTTAATGGTGACTGGGGTTGTGTCCAGCCTTTGGCTCACTGTAAGCAATGCCACAGTGAAATGTGTGCTGTCTCATTTCTCATGTGTGCAGGTCAGCCTGTATGAGGAATTCTTAGATGTAGGATTGCTGGGTCACAAGAATGTATACTTGTCTTTTTTTTTTTAATGGTACTTGGAATTGAACCTGGGTCACTCTACCATTGAGCCACATTCCCAGTCCTTTTCAGCAGCTTGCAAGTTGTGGAGGCTGGCCTTGAATCTGTGATCGCCTCTTGAGTCACTGTGTTCAGCTTGCATGTGTTGTTTTCAGAGGTAGTTCTATGAGGTGATGTCTGAGTGTCTTCATGGCCTTGTGTTTTCAAACATTTGGGTTTTTATCAGTCTGAGTAGTGGGAAATAGCACTTCAGGGTTTCTCTGTCTCTCTGGTTGAGTTTGAGCCTCAAGGGCCATGTGAATTTCCTTTTCTGAACTATCTGTTTATATCTTTTTTCTATTGAGTAGTTGGTGTTGTTCTTATTTATATCTGAAGGTTCTTTGTATATTAGAAAACTCATTCCTTTTATAACGAGTGGCAAAGTTCTTCCTCCCACTTCGTCCTTTTGGACATCACCTCGAGAAACACGTCTAGCTTGCCTGTGGGGTAGGGCTTCCCTCTGGAGACGCCTAAACAGGGCCATGCAAGAGAGCTTCCTGCTGTGATGGAAATGTTAAGTGTGGCAACTGAAGAGTGGAAATTTGATCTTAATTGCCTTTAATCAATTCCAGTAGCCACTCATATGGCTAGTGGTACCCTCTTGGACAGTGCAGTTCTAGAGCCTGCACAAAATAATATCACAAGATGTTACCACAGTCTATTCTGTAATTATTGTTGCATATCTCCCCAAGGTTAAAAATATACTTACCCCACCAAGGGGAACAGAATTACCATTTCAGGCCAGCTTAGTTGTTACTCAGTTGAAAACTGGGGACCAAAATATAGGCTGTCAGTGAGAGCAAATCTGACAAATAGGTGCTTAGGACCTGGGTGTTGGGCTGAGTTGTTTTTTGCTTGTTTGTTTATTTGTTTGTTATGTTTCTCTTTTTTTGGTAGGAGGGGGGCTGAGTTTTGAAGGATGGTTAGGAGGTAGGAATTAGAAAGGTCCAGGAAAAGGACTGATCAGCATATGCAGAGGCCTGGAAGTGAAACAGCTTGTGTGTCCCAGGGACCACAGAGAGTTCTGTGTCACCAGGGAATCCACCAGCGGAAGTCTTGGAAGAGGGGAAGTGGAGGCGCTTGAAGCTGGAGGGCCCAGCCAGGGCCTTGGCCCCTAGATGGAGATCCCTGCAGAGCTTGGCAGGCATTTAATAAATTAGGGTTTGTCACAGGGTTGTTAAGAGATTCAGGGGATGATAAACAGGAAGCCCTTGATTCAGCAGTACCTGGCACACAACTTGCAAGCCTGGAAAAGGAGCAGCAGGGAGCCAGCAGTGGTTTAGTAGGCAAGAGAGATGATCTAGTTTCCATTCTCACAAGGTGACACACCCTTCAGTGTGGTATGACTCCCATTACTAAGACTGTGGGAGCTGGATGGAGCATTTTTCCTTTTCTTAGGAACTTCTGCTGCCTTTGGAGAGAGAATCGCTGGGTTGGATCCAGAGAGACCAAACCCCAGATTCCTGCCCTTAGCCCTGGGGGCACTGTGAGCCAGAAACCCAGCAAGAGGGAGGCCACTCTGTTCTGCTTATGGCTGGCCATGCTTTCCTTGCTGCTCTGCCCCACATAGGCCTGAGGTCACTGGTTGCCCTGCGTCTGGAGAGAGATGGGGTGGCAGGGGAGACAGGAAGCACGCCGGTGGCTGAACATGGCTTGGACACTGCAGCACCTTCCTTACTGGGAACCTGGTTGCCTCTCCTGCCTTCCCCAGGAAGCTGGGGACCCTCCTCGCACCCCACCCTGCTGGCAGCTTGTTTCAGATGCAGAAAAGTTGAAAGAATAGTATCACTGTGTGAACCTGCGGGTACCTGTGCCTGGGTGCGGTGTTTCTGCTGTATTTACCTCATCGGGCTATTTTTTACTGAATCTTTTGTTATTTTCCTGATTATTTTGTGCTTCTGTTTGTACTTCATGACACTGTTCCTTACCACTGCAGACAGGCATCTGCCACGAATAAGGACTTTCCCTCACAAGATCATGATATCCTCACACCTGAGATGAGTATACAGGTTGAGCCTCTTGATCTGGAAATCTGAAATCCAAAATGCTCCATCATTGGAAACTTTATCTACCAACATGATGCTCAAAGTTTCAGATTTTGGAACATTTTTTATTTTCCTGTCAGAAATGCTCATAAGGGCTATGCAAAAATCCCCAAATCCAAAAAAGATTCCAAGGTTTGATATAAAGCGTTTGAATGAGGGATGCTCACCTGTAACGTGTGTTTACTGCTCCCCTCTCCTTATCTGTGCCATACTCGAATTTCCCCAGTTACCTCCAAAAATGTTTCTTCAACAAGGATTCCTTTAGGTTCCTGCTGTCTCTTTGGCCTCTTTTAATCTACTTTAGCCCTCTGTCCCCCTGCCCTCCAAGAACTGTTAGCCTTGACAAGCCAGGCTGACTGTCTTGTTGTAGAAAGGCCGAATGTGTCCCTTACTGCCTTTTGACAGGTGGGTGTATTTCCTATAAAGTAGAAGTTAGGTCCACAGTAGGGTTGGCCCACTATAGCCCTGCCTCCTGTTGGTAAGGAAGGTTCTGTTGGAACATGGCCATGTGCATTTGTATATGGCTGCTCTATGGCTGCTTTTGCCCTGCTGTGGCACAGTTTAATAGTTGTGTCAGAGCTGGTGGCCTACAGAGCCTGGAGATTTGCTACTTGGGTCTATAGAATGTTTGCAGACCCTTAGCCTTGACAGGAGTGCTTAATAGTGTATATCCAATACACTTTTTTTTTTTTTCTTTATAAAATGTGGTCCATCCACACATTGGACTTTTTTAAATATGTTTTTAGTTGTAGGTGGACACAATGCCTTTATTTATTTTTACATGGTGCTGAGGATTGAATCCAGTACCTTACCTATGCTAGGGTAAGTGCACAACCACTGAGCCACAACCCGAGCCCCAGCCCCTGGACTCTTTTTTTAAAATATATTTTTATAACCTTATTTATTTTTGTATGTAGCGCTGAGGATCAAACCCAGTGCCTCACACGTGCTACACAAGTGCTCTATCACTGAGCTACAACCTCAGCCCCTGTGTGATCTTTTTGATGTAATTTCTCTGCTCAGGAATCTGAATGGCTGTTAGTCCTTCTTGGAGTGAATTCCAGGGTTTGTGCCATGTTCTACAAGGTCCTGCCCCTCTCCAGACTTATTTCTTGCCACTGGAGCCCACACTCAGTCATGCTGGTCTGCTTGCTGTTCCTTAAACTTGCAAAATACACTCTTGGGTGGGTGCCTTAGCACCTGCTGCTGCCTTGCCTAGGACCCCCTTGAGCAGATATCGTGGCTATTTTTTTAACTTCACAAGTTCTCTATTCAAATGCCACCTTCTCAGAGTGTCCTATCCTGCCTCCTCATGAATGTTTCCCTTACCCAGCTTTATTTTTCTTTATAGAACCTGTCTACTAAGTGTGGCATTTTATATTTATTTATTTGTGCCCGGCATATAAATAGGTATTCAGTAAATGTTTGTTGGATGAATACAAGAATAATTAAAACTAATTCTCTTGAGCCAGATCCTGTTGTAAGGACTGTACATATCAACTTTGTCCTCCCAGCTGATGTTGTCTATGAGAAGGAAGGGAACCCAATACTGTCCAGCCATAAAATGCCCCTTGGGGATAGAGGAGGCCATGCATAGGGTGAAGGGCAGAGGCCCACTCTCAGACCAACAGCTAGCTCTTACTTCTGAAGTAGGAAGGACAGCCCGGCCACCTCTGCCTCCTTGAGCTTCCCTCTGGGGCACGTTGGGTCCTGTTTAGCAGGACAACCCAG